GCGAGTTTGGTATGAACGAGTGGCACAGGTTATCCGACATCAGCACAAACACGAGGCGATATTTGCAGCGGGACGACGAGCAGAGAATGGTCCAGGGCGCATCGGCCAAGCTCGGAAAAATCCACTTCGCAAAGCAGCGATGGGAGCGTGCCAGCAGCAACAGCAACGCACCTGGCCCCATCCCCGAGTTCATCAAGACTACCCCCAGCATTTCCATGCCCCTGGCCGTCGAACTACCTGGCGACATCCCAACCTACCCTCCCCAGCGACTCGGCACGCCACCAAGCCGACAGTCCTACGAATCCGGCATCGACGCACTCTCGGTCCCAGGACATAGCGCCAACGGCATCAACACCCCCTCACCCAGATCCTCAGCCGAGCGCGTTCACTCGGCAAGAAGTAGCAGCAGCCACCTAGCGCCCAGTCGCCCAGCCCCCGCCGTCCCTCCTCCAGTCCCATCCGGGACCGACGACTCAGATAAACTCGTCGCCATCGCCCCAACCCCCGCACAATGGCGCAACGCCTCAGGGCAAGATAAGATCGCCATCGTCACCGAAGACGACCAGCCCAGACACCCCCAATATCCCTGGTACCAGAACCAGCAGTACCAGCAGCACTTCCAGTACCCGCCGAGGATAGAGCCACCACCACTCCCGCCCAAGACGCCCCTGTCCTCGGCGGACGGACTGATCTCGCCGGTTAGTCCCAATGGCAGGCAGAATACCCTGCCGGCTGCGTATGTGCCGTATCCGATTGAGGAGGACGAGGAGCCGCCTGTTGTGAACATGGCGAGGAAACCTAATTATAATGTGAGGTGAAAGGAGAGAAAAATACGCACGATACCACGAGTAAGGGATAAGGGATGAGGGGAGGAGCACGCCATGCCTGCCGGCGGGTGATGGTGTGGTGTGTGGTGTGGTTAGACACAGGCATCCAAACAAGCCATAAGCCATGTGTCACCGGGATCCGAATGACTGGATACGAGAATTGGACATTGGAAAGCCAACATAAGCGAGCTTTTCACATGGGACTTGGAGGAAGACGAGGAAGCGGAAAGAGCAGGGGAGATGAGAGAAGAGGGAGGGGTGCAGAAAAGAAGGGAGGAGAAAAATATACCACACACACCCACACGCTCATGAACGAACGACAGCAATACTTCATGATATGACGTTATGACACGGAACACGCGATGATACCACTACATACCAATACCATATTCTTTTTCATATCTAACTATATACCATACTTTTCATACCTTTTCTTTACTTCACCGACGGGCGAACGGATATGCGATGATCGTGAAGGAGGATATCAATCGGCGCGCGCGAAGTATATTGAGCTTAGACAATGTTTAATGACTGGGGTTATTGATGAATTTCCTTGGTGATAATCTTTTCCCCTTCATTTCAGTGGTTGCTTTGGTGTCTTTCGGTCTAAATGTTTCTCGAGTGGTTATTTGCGCCATGGTCATGGCGACAAGGGAAAGAGGGTCGAACGGACTCTAGAAGGTGACTGGAAGTGGAAGTGGAAGCATTATGCCAGAGGGCACTTGATTGAGAGCGACATGTGGACCAGAGCTGATTGATGATGGGTCGTTTTGGTTCTCTCTGTATTGCGTGAATGAATGATGCATACCTTGATTCAGCTATGCTTGTTCAGCTGCCTTCCAGCTTTTATCGAAGTTTTCTGTGTTGCGATAAGTCTCACCACTTGATTTCTTCCATGTACTTCACTCCACTCGGCAGGCGTTGCGTTGCCCGGCTTGTTCCTTTTCTATCTCTTCTAGCCTATCAAATGCCATCCACTCTTGCTTCTGCCAGCCACTCACAAACAAACGCACTCTATCTTCTACCACATGTTAACTACAATCATTCATTCATCAACGAGAGCCAGCCCAGCACGCCCGGCTCGCGAAGAACATCCAATATAGCAATCTAAGCACGGTCGCACAACATGTCCTGGCAGACAGGCAGTCATCACACAGCACACAGTAACCACAGCACCACAGACACTGATCCGCTGGAATAAGGAAAGAAAAATAAAAACATTCTTGCTTTCTACCCGTACCCGTGTTATCTCTCTCACTCGTGTCTTGTGTCTTGTGTAATGTTATTATCCTTCCAGAAAAGACACAAAAAAGGAGTGGACCGGAGTGGTTTGGTTTACGAAGTCTCAAGCGGAGTGGTGGCACGCATTGGGAGCCTGGTCTCATGGGAAACACAGGCGCACAGGCTCGGGATGGCTTCCGGTTTTTGGATCAACTTGTCCATGCCGCATTTCCGAGGGTGTGAACACCATGATTGAGTAGAAGGATGTACGTGGTTACGGTAAGAAAGGACGGAAAAAGACCGGGCTAGACTACCTACCAGTGCTGTTGGAGGTAGAATTCGATTACTCTGACGATGTTTGATTTGACTTTTGGTCTGGATATCAAGCATGATCATCATGCCCATGCCCGCATAGCTCCATGAAACCGGGCGCATATCCCGTGAGAAGTGGTAAATCTTGAGATGTCAACCCAAGGGTTCGGTTCGGGTGGAGCTGTTACCCCTTCAGCCCTACGTCACAGTGCAGTCCAGTGCCGGTAGCGTCGATCAAGGGTAATCATGCTTAATTTGATCTCTTACACTCGATCTTTTTCATGTGAGCGGCAAGACGTCGATGAACTGGGATAAAAGAAGCGAGCTGTTCTGTTCTGGCCCTCGAAGCTGAAACACCAGACGTTGAGGGCCTCTTTTTACGTTACATTGACGGATTGGCCCCATCAGATAGTAAACATTCAACCCCTATTATCCGAAAAGTCTTGGCATTCGTGACTCTTCGGCGAGCAAAAAAAAGCTCTCGGACAGAGGACAGGCAGGTCCATGCCAGACAACCTCATGGTCTGGCATTAGTGCACAGCTGCGCCTCTTTCGAGAGTAACAGCGCTAAGGCTTTCCCGGCAAAGTTGAGGAGGGGAAGGAGGGGAAAAGAGTCTTCACTGCCGATGCATGTTGAGCCATGTGCCTTTCTCCATGATGGTCATGGTGCCAGATGAGGATTGCATCCGGGCCAATAACGCCCTGGTAAGGATTTAGGGGCACTTACCTTTCGCATTTTAATGTCCTGTAACTGGTCCGTAGCTCTTCCGGAAAGACCTCCGGTGGCTTTCCAACTGGGGGGTCTGTATCGTGCAAGCGAGGATCATGGGCACTTGCACCGGAGTTCCCCTCAACGTCAGGTACGTCCTAAACATGCCATTTTCTTTGGGCTTCTCATGCCTCGTAGGTCTACCTGGAAAGGTGCTAACATGATATCTGCTCGATGAGGGTTAAGCCAGCTTTGTCTCTACTGGCTCGATCTCTGTTTACCACTCGGCTTCTGTGTCGAGCTGGCGGCACGAGATGACAGTATGTGAGACCTGTACCTGTCAGTCGCCGCAAGGTAGCTCTGGGGCAACTTCCTGTTCGCTTGGCGGCTGCTGATCCGGCAGCTCATCCCTGCCATACGGATGCACTGCCAGTCTGCCACAATGGCCTAACGCGAGAGATTTCATGTCGACCTACCCAAGACTCGAGTCAGCGGCAGGGCAACCGATAATGATCCCAGTTCAATATATTTGTCTGTGGGCTGTGACGGCCTAACGGAAACGAGGAAACGCCTCCCACTTCACCTTCGTTGAAACCACTAGTCCGGTATTGATCACGTAGACCGCCAGTTAGCAAACTACCTACCGAGTCCTTGAGGTCTCGCAGTGGTATCCAACTTGAACAGCTCTCGAGGCACAGAGCCCACAACCATTTTCCCAAACAGGCTCGAGGTCGAGTTTATTATGACCTTGTCAAGGGAGTTGCTCCTCCATAGCTGCTTGGGGGAGCCAAGAACCATGACCTATCAGAATATTCAAGTCTGCAAGCGTCCGTCTAAAGTCGCGCCGCCCTATGTATGTCGTCGATTTCGGTCGTTGAGAGGACATACCGTGCTGGAAATCAGCGAGGAAGTCGTCGTAATCAGGCCTGAGACAGCTATCCTCGCCTTCAGGTGCGCCACTTGAGTCTGTGATGTCAAAAGGTACCCGGGTACAGGTGTCTCCATGTCGTTCGCTCGAACCTTTGATCAATGTCTCAGTTGTCTGTTGCCAAACCATTCAAAAATGCAGGACTTCTTCATGTCAGGGGCTGTAGTCAGCAGCGCTTTGGATCTTTCCATAGTCCATCATCGTGCGCAAGAATTGAGTCAACACTTGTGTGCTGGCTTACGCGGCTAGAACAAGTGAGGTTGCAACATGAGTTTCCGCGGTGTACCCTGTTCCAATTATGGGCGTGTTTGGTTCAAATAGCAAGTGGAAAGAGCGAGTAGAGTTGGGTACAAAGCTAAAATATGCAGTAAATCTGCGGTCTTTGATAGGGATAATGTACCGACTTTCGAGCACCTTTTTTCTTTGCTTCTTTCTTTCTACACTGACAGGGGTCCGTTTCTACCCTACAATTGAAGGGTAGTTACAAATCCTTGTCAGTTGGAGTTGGTATAGCCTGATTAGGAAGGAGAATGCAAGAATATGCAGGATTTTGCTTATTCAAAGATTGTGCAGGAAAAAGATACCTGCCAAGCTCGACGTGCAGCCAAATTCACGGACGAAACTCGGACTACACCAGCATCTCCCACCGGTTGGTAAAGACAGGGTTTATTTGTATGGCGAAAGCAAACTACACCGCGCGAACCAAACACGCCCTATGTCAAACCAATACCGCTTCTACTCACCTATAACAGATATCCTCTTTTGGGGAAAGTAGCAGCTTATGCGGGCAGTTTTAGCCCGCTCTTAGCTGCATATGCAACATCTTTCCAACAGGATTCGCTCATAATCCCAGCATACCGCAAAATCTCACTCATAACGGAGATGCTCTTTTGGGGAAGACCACACCTTATGCGGGTGTTTTGAGCTTGCTCTTAGCTACATATGCAGCATCTTGCCAATTGAATTGGCTCATAATCCTGGTACGATCCACAAAGCATCTCCGTTATGAGTGAGATTTTGCGGTAGTCTCCATGTCGAACCATTGCTTTCGAAGGTGGACGCTTGTTACCTCCGCGGGCATGGAAATCAAAAAGTGATGAGTTGTATGCAGATCACCGTGATCTGCTGTTCTAGGCTTCGCCCTCCTACCTCAGCACATCTCGCTTCTTGTGAAGCAGTACCGTCGCCAGTGGGTGCTCGCCCTCCTGCTCTGCTTCACCAGTGGTGGGTTCCTGATAACCCGAGCGGCAGGTTGTACGCTAATCCAAAAGAGTCTGAAAGCCGAAGGTGTACAGGTGAAGCCTGATACCTGTCCCTTGTCGCAGCCATCATTCGGAACGGGACTTACCTATAAGTCAGCCTTATGGCCCGTTAAGCTCATGTTCGGCGCAAACCCCAATGACTGTTGTGTTGTCAAGATTGCCGTCCAGACGGGACCATGTCCGAGGCCACACGTCCTCCTGTCGGCCGGTCTTCGCGTGCCGAGAGGACGACAACATCTTGTGGGGAGTGCCGGAGAAGAAAACAAAAGGTACGAGAATTCCGAGTCGGTGTCATGTTCGAGTCTCAACAGGATAGCAAGACCCAGATTAACCAGAACATCATCTGTACTGGTCTGCCATAGACTGACGGCATGTTCCCTTCTCCGTAGTGCAATCAGGGTCAGCCATGTAGCAACTGCGCAAGGCGGTTTCCCCAACCGTTATGCGAGTATAAACCCAGCAGCAGGTACACATACCAGCTCCATGATTAAGGCATAATCGTGTTTGGGAAAGGAAACTAACCGGATGGATCCAAAGACGGCCTAGTGTAACTCCCATCTCCCATCAATCGGCCTTTGCAATATCCGTGTTGCCTTCATCGGGACGGTACGGCGGGCAGTACGAAATCGAAGGGACCCGTCATCCTCTCTTGCCCCCGCGGCAGACATCGTCATCATGGGCAGCGAGTACTGGAGGAGAAACTGGAGCAGTAACAGTGCGCTGGTCAGGGATAGACATTGGGACTCAGCTTCCCGTGTCTACTATGATGCCTCAACCACACGTCTTCAGCAGAACGCAAGGCGGTCTATTCCCAGGAGAATTTGGCTGCAATGAAGGGTGCACACTCCACACTGACCTGTACCATGATGCCGCAAATCTACTTCGAGCGTATCACACTATTCCCGCTCGCTTCCTGAGTGGGAACTGGTCTCGAGAGACTCCCCCGGGCAGGATAGATCCTGGGGGTCTTCAAGCCAGCGGCGTAGCACCGTGGCCCGGAATAAGTCCGAACCAAGGACATGGACACATCCCTCCCGCGCCTGGACAGTCTATTCAAGACAATGACCTGCTAAACATGTGTACGTTGTCTGCCTCGTTGGGGAAAGAATATGGGTTCGCGTATACGTCGCTGACACTACCAATCAATGCAGTCGTCAACCTAATCGGTAATATGAAAGCATCCATAGACAGCAACCCCGATGCAACGAACCCGTATATCCAACACTACATTCCGTTTTGTCTTCGATCGCCTCTCCTAACTCGTGTGGCCATATGCACCGCTGCAGGCTGGCTCCATGTGGCGGGCATCATTGACACGACGGTAGCGATGGCACATAAAGGGCAAGCTATAGCGCTCCTGAATGACCATATTAAGTCAAGCCTGGTAGCCGGAGACGAAGGAATAGCCGGAGTTGTTCAGCTCATTATCAATGAGTGGTATTGGGGCGAAAAGCAATCCCTCCATGCACATATGGGCGGCCTTTGTGAGATGATTAAACTTCGTGGTGGGTTTCGGACGCTGGGGCTGAACGGGCTGATTAGCAAACTTGCCATAACGTAAGATTCGATGGGGCAGTATCATGTGGAAAGGGGTTGTGCTGACAATGAACGGCAGATCGGACGTTGGGATTGCATTGTGTTTCGAGATACCACCTTCTTTGCGGGGGGGCCACGAGTTTGACTTCCAAGACAGTACCCAGCCCCCGTTGCAGCTGGCCCTGAACACGCCCCTAATATCCACGATATCATCGGGATCTCTCCCACACTTTGCTTCATGCCATGAGGAGTTTCACATACACCCCACCACGGCTTCGATCCTGGACGACTTGCGGTTCCTTGTGTGCACAGTCCTCGGGCTTCCTGAGGACGCTTCCTCAATGGAACTACAAAAACTGCACCATACGTCTGCATGGACTCATGACCAGATGTTGAGGCTTCCGCCGGACGGTCCTATAACGAGACGACCTTCTCCAGGATCAGCCAATGCTCCATCTCCGGCAGTGAACACGGCACTTGAGTCACAAACCAGGGGGGGTGTGGAGGGTAATAGCGGGCTTACGGCGGCTGCATCACCTACAACACAAATCACCCAGCAGTTTTCAGCATACGGTCTCGGAGTTCAACAGCAGGCGACGGGACCCAGTTCCGGGGTCCGCGCAGGGGAGATGCCGAAACGAAGAGAGGGAAGTTTGGGAGAAGACTTAGCTATGCAAGCCAGTGCTGAGGCCCCGGACTATGTGTACCAAGCCATCAGGATATCGGCAATCTTGTACACTCGAGCCATCATGACACGGCGTCCGTTCAGCGAGGTGGTCAGCATGGAGGATTTCCTGGAGCTCTGGACGACAGCGTGGAGGGTTCCGCTGGCTACATGGCGTTCTTTGCTGGGAGTCTTTAACTGGATGCTTCTGCCTCTGATATCAAGTGTGAAGAACACAGGACATGATCTGTGGGTCAAGTCAATGATGAATACTACCCTGCTGCAAATGGGTATGGGGCATTGGGAGATTGCGCGACGTACCATGGACGCGGCCATGCGGCTTCAACGCTGGCTGAAGGGTGACAGCGTCAACTTGAACGAAAACATTGGATCGTCAAACATGGAGCCTGGAAGCGGTAGGAGTAGGAGCGGCAGTGCCAGGAACGAGTTTGGGAAGGAATTTGACGAGCGCCGTGGGAGTGACGACAAGTCGAAGACGATGAAACTGGCGAAGGGAAAGGGGAAGGAGACGGAACCGAAGTGAAGTTGGAGCGATGAAGTGAAGTGAAAGTGGTGATGCAATGTGGAAGGGGGAGGACCGCAGCACTGCACTTGCCGTCATGCAGATGTCACGGTAGAAGCCCGAAGACAACAAGTGGCTTGGAAAGAACGAACTGCAGAGCGCAGGCAGGTACCCGCGCTTTCCATCGTCAACAGCACATGATCTCGAGCCACTATTTGAAATCTGGATGGTCCTCTTCACGTACGGAAGAAGCCAAGGCTGCCATCAAGCGTGCCTGACGGGAATAGCATGGAATTAGCGTCAGGTGTGTACTCGTCTGGACTGGAACGGTCCAGCAGGTACATTGTGTATGTGTGTATGTAAAATACTCTTTTGTAAAATGTTGCTGCCCAAGGGAAAAAGAACAATTCGATCACTTCTTTTCATAGCCCATCAAGTTCCCTCCCATAGCCAGTAATGATCGGAGCCCGGGATTTGGCGGCCGGCTTCCCCGCGGTCACGTCATCCCCGGGCCGGGATTATCACATCGGTTGGCCCCGCTCAAAGCCCCGACCGCCCCCGTCCCGCTCGCATCGTCATCCATTACAGCGCGAATTGTCCGATTTCCATCGTCCTAACCAGTCACCTCACGGCAGCGTCACATCGAACATTCTCTCCACCCATCTTTTTCCTCTGGCGGCTTTCATTTGGTCTCGATTTGAAACTCTTTCTTCAGCAAGCCGCCCACTATGTCTGAGCTCTTTCCTTTCTCTTGAGCTCATAGAAGACATACATACATATACATTATGTGGGTTGAGAATCACCAGTCTCCTTTGCTCGAGTTGTAACTCTATTAACGGAGTTTGCAGGCGTCTTTTTACGAAACCCTAATGGACCGATTTATAGGACGCCGCCGATAGCCCATGGCTTCATGCAGAGCGGAAAGGCCATTTCTGCGACAATTCACTTTGACATCAGTTCTTTTTGCGGTGAATAACATTATTTGACAATCAAAAAGAAGGCCAAAGAGGCGTCGGTTGCTACCTCATTCGATTGGCTTTCCAGCTTCCGATAAGACATGGCAATCAACGAGCCATTCAAGAGGAGATCCCGCAATGGCAATCCCAAAAGGTCTGGTACTACTCTGAATATCACTGTATGTAGTAGACATTTGGCATTTTATCTAGGTAACATCATGCTATCTAGATTACCACCTAGCATGAGGTTGAGTCTAACCGCTTTAGGATTCCATTTCCCATGTTATGCAGATCTTCCACTTTGAAGCAACTACTTATGACCGCCGACCCGACCCGAGTCAATGGGCGATTTCGAGAATTTCACTGGCCAGATACTTGTCTGAGCCTGCGATTATGTCTTATCTTACGGCCCTCGGCTCGCACAGTGGCGCGCCGTGTTTCACTCTGCGAGAAATGCTCGACATCATCTTTTCGTTCCCGGAGAAGCCATCCTTGACTGGCTGGATAACAGTTACCAATCTCGGAGGGGAGCAATGCCAAAGTCTCGGTAAGGTATCCTCCCACTCTCTGATCTGCAAGAATGCTATCTAGCGTTATGCTTCCCACTGCCATCAGATGCGGGGATCATTGTGCCAGTACGCAGTTGTTGGAACTACGTACGCCATGGAGGAGGAATAAGTATTGGCTCATGGGCTCGCCTGGTCTCCTGACCTTGGTTGAACAACACGAATCTCTTCAGGTTCAAGTCTCACGGTATACCAACCTTGAACCTCCGAGTTGTGTGCCTATGACCGCCAAATCACATCTTGTTTGGTACCAAAATGTCAGGAACAACGCCCTCCAGGGCCGCCGGCCCCTTGGAGCCTCACCCAGATGAGACAACATCACTGGTGAGGAAGCCTCTATCACTCCAGTCTTCCAGCACCCAAGTCGAGGAATCCGAGGCGTTCAACCTACCCGAGTATAAGCTATGGTTATCCGAGCTCTGGCTTCTCACCAAGAATGCCATCCCCGTCATATTCGCCTATACGCTCCAAAACTCGCTCCAGACCGGCTCCATCCTCATAGTCGGCCGTCTGAGTCCGGAAGCCCTAGCCACGGCCGCCTTTTCGTACATGTTCGCCATGTCCACGGCTTGGTTGATCGCTCTGGGCGGTTCAACGGCTCTAGACACTCTTGCATCAAGCAGTTACACCGGCTCCTCCAACAAACATGATCTCGGCATCCTTTTGCAGCGCGGACTGGCAGTCTTGTCCGCATTTTATGCTGTCGTGGCTTTGATATGGACCTTCTCCGAGCCTTTGTTCCGGCTGCTTGGTCAGGAGGAGTACATATGCGTACAGAGCGCCATGTTCCTTCGGCGCCTCATACCGGGCGGTTTGGGTTATATCTGGTTTGAGTGCATGAAGAAGTTCTTGCAGGCTCAAGGTTAGCTTTTCCACTACTCACCTCCCTCAATGCCTCGTTCACATCGCCAGATACCCACAAATGGCAGTCACTAACATATTTCCCCCCACCACCAGAAGTCTACCGCCCCGGCACATATGTCCTTCTCATCACCTCCCCTCTCAACGCCGCTCTCAACTACCTCTTCATCCACAAACTCGGTCTCGGCCTGCACGGTGCCCCCCTCGCCACCGGCATCTCGTACTGGTGCTCATTCTTCCTCCTCGTCGCCTACGCCACCTTCGTCCGCGGCCATGAATGCTGGGGCGGCCTCTCCCCTCGTCGAGCGCTCTCCAACATTGGCCCGTTCATCCGCCTCGCTCTGCTAGGCATCCTTCACGTCGGCACCGAGTGGTGGGCATTTGAGATCGTGGCTTTGGCTGCCGGCCAGCTGGGCACCATCGCCTTGGCCGCGCAGTCTGTGATCATGACGGCCGATCAGATCATCAACACGATTCCGTTCGGCTTGGGCGTGGCTGCTAGTTCAAGGGTTGGGAACCTCTTAGGGGCGCGCAAGGTCAAGGAGGCAAGCAGGGCGTCACATTGTGCGGTGGTGCTTAGCATAGTTGCCGGGGCGTTGATACTGACGGTGTTAATGAGTGTTAAGGATGTGTTTGGACGTCTGTTTAATGATGATGAGAGGGTGATCAGACTGGTGGCGGATGTGATGCCGTTTGTGGCGCTGTTCCAAATTGCTGATGGCTTGAATGGATCCTGCGGGGGCGTGTTGAGGGGAACGGGAAGGCAGTGGGTGGGCGCGGCGGTGAATCTGGTCAGTTACTATGGCGGTGCGCTTCCGATGGGCATTTATCTTGCTTTCCACGGTTGGGGTCTCCGCGGGTTGTGGATTGGGCAATGTGTTGCGTTGTATTTGGTGGGTGTGCTCGAGTGGCTGATTGTTGGCATGAGCAACTGGGATAATGAAGTCAAGAGAGCACTTTCGCGGCTAGATGATGGAGGGTTTGGGGAAAGTGGTGCTCATGCTTATACTTATGGGGCTATCGGGGAAGGCCAGGCCGATGATGCAGTGGGAGTGAGGCATGGAGGAAGAAGGGAACCGGTGTGAACAGAGATCCGGTGGCCAGCTGGTAGGATACTGTAGGATTAGCTGATCCATTATCTGTGAAGGATACGAGCAAAAAAGTTGACATCAAGTAGACAGGTCGCCTTGGATTAGCTTCCTTGGGAAAGTGAAAGTTTAGAAGTTCTCAAGAGGTTGTACTTAGGATGCCCCTTTCATCATATATCCCTTGGCCGTGTTTTCCCTACGATCCCCGAGGGTTCAAGTCATTGACGATGCATTTGATGACTGAGAATGTCAGAAAAAGAAACGTTCATCATCGATAGTTGGATTGTCAGCTTTCATAGCAAACAGTTCGCAGCATATATAACCCTAACCCTATACAAACAAGGAGTTTGTCAAGTGGCTCACTCCATAAAAGGGGCTAGCAACTTATGAAAATACTTGTGCACTTGTATGCTCACGATCCGGCACATCTTTTGTCAGTCGTAGTCGGACACTCGTCGAGCTCGCAAGTAAAGGCTTGAAATGGGTTTATTATGTGATGTTTCTCCAGCGATAAAGACTGAGGTTAGTTGACTTAACTGGACCACTTGACCTACGCAGTACGCACACACATGATGCGCCCAGGCCTTATGTCCGCTTGGGCATTTTTCTGCAAGGCGACAGCACAAAACACCTTACCCTGCTTGGCTTGCCTGCTTGCCTGCCTTGTACGAGTTGTTAAAAGAACGTTGAAGGCTTTCAAAAAATCCAATGCCTGTCCCCGGGCTCACCGTGAAGGCCACGGGATGGGACAGAACAATGAAGAGGATTGCCCGGGAGGACGCACTGCCTCTCTACGTGCGCAACGGGCACGGCACTGCGGTGAGTGGAGAATGTCTGCCTTTGCCGATAAGAATAGGCTGATCGGCTTTTAGCTCCCAAGATTCCCTGGGTGGTTAAACCTTAGTGAAGGCGTGATAGCTGAGCTGTGCCAATCAGGTGTGCAGCGAACTGCAGAAGGCTGACGTACACTACGAAAAAGGGAAAGAGCCTTTTTTTGGGAAGCCGAGAGCAAGAGAAACGCTTGGTAAAAGGATCCGGGAGGTTGGCGAGGTTGGTATGGTATCTCGATCTCTCGAGGAGACTGAGAAGGTGCCCGCGCGGCGCCCAGGCGGTGCGGTGCTGGCAGCTTTCTTTGGCCTTGTCATGCATGCAGTGGGCGGTCCGAGGCTCTCCTGTCTCCTCTGATTCGACAAAGGGTACTAGACCATGAACGAGGCGGACGAATCGTTTGTTTTCTCGTTGGATCGTGGGCTTGCGGTAGTGCCCATAGCATGCCATGTCGATGCAAGCAGGTCTGGTTCGTCCGTCTGTCCGTTCGTTCGTTGTTGAGTCCTGGGCCCAACCCTCCTCGTGAAGGGCAACGAGGACGCATGAATGGGTAGGGCGTAAGCAGGCGGAAATGGCCCAGAAACCAGTTGGATTATTTATCGTTGGGCACAGACGCATCCCCATGCGACTCTCCATCTCCTCTCTGTGCCTTTGTTCTGTGTTGTTTTGGTCTCGAGGCAAGTGTGAGTTCAAAAGAGCGTTTTTAGCCTAGCTTGGCCAAAGAGGTGTTTGACGTGCGTCTGAAGAGTTGCCCGATTCTAGGCAAAAGGGGAACGGGAAATAGCAAAGGCATCCATCGATCCATGGTCTTGTCGGTCTGTAGGTGAGGCCGCAACGCTGCAGCTGACAGAATCCAAGCCTGGCGCATTGGGTATGTACATAGCAAAAAAGGTTACGTACTAGGTAGGGGTCAGGGTGCAGCTCTAGAGGCATGGAAACTGACACGGCCTTGAACTCCCGTCGGAAGGTTAGTAGCATTCTTCCCAGCATATCATTCATCAAGGGCAGCATGGTCAACATCATGATTGATAAAGTGTGTAGTACACTATCTGGAAGCTTTGGTCGGCTCAACGGGAATGGATAGAGACAAGGAGGAGACTCCCAGGTCGCTCTTGATTTGTAGTTTTGAACAAGTGAGGAGTGCAGGCCCGTGTAGCGAACGGTAGGTCGCTGAGACGCTCAAAACATGACGGGATTGGACGGACGGGCCACTGGGGGTTGCGAGGGGCGGGGCTGGTCGCATCTGGTGCAATCCCGGAGAGGTGCCCGTGCTTGTGCACCAATCAGTCCGGGAGAAACGCCTTCCAAGTGGACGAGGCCGTGGCCGATAACTGTCGATAGGTGCTTCCCGGTGGGCTTTCCAGGTGCTGTCAGCCCCGCTCAACAGGTCTTGTCTGGCTCCATCCGTATAGGTGCGTGCAGACATGGGGCCTTGGCTGCACCATCTGGCCAATCATCAGTCACAAATTCAATTGGTCCTTGAACCTTGCGCGCCCTGCCACAAGGCTAATTCAAAGCCGAGTACCTGCTGCAGTCCCTCGTCGCTCCTCGGGCAGGTAGCTTTCAGTTTACCACCACAGCCTCACCTCACTGTATCTCAACCCGGGGAGTACTTGGCTGCTTAACAGCACTTCCCGGACCCTCACCTCCTCATTTTCTGCTGTCGTCGAGGCGAGACAACCTGACCTCAGATTTCCCAACTGAACCTGAACTTCCCCCGCTTCTCTGTTTCCATCTTGTGGCTGGCCTGACCTTCGCCGACCGACACGACTCACCTCGCAACAACGACGACAACAACAACAACAAACAACACTGATCTGGATTTCGCCCATCTAGATCAATTATCTTTTTTCTCTTTCCTGCCCTTGCCCTGTCTGTCCTGTGTGCGAGCTGTGCATGGGATATCTCGAGCCCATCCCGCCAATTCACTGTCCACAGGTTTCTTCTGTATTGATTGGCGGCCATTGTAATCCGAGTCTCTTCCGACGACGCATTTTTGCCATCAGCCAGACGTTTCTGTCTGTTTGCCGTCGTGCCCACCAGTTCTGCCGCTCGTAAAGGCTTGTTTGGGCTTTGTTGCCTCGTCCAGCCTTATTATCGCGACCTCAGCCAAATTCCTGTACCCTTGTCCTGTCTGGCCTGCCGTGTCCTTTGTGGCCTCGACTGATCCATACTACCGGAACTGATACTGCTATCGACCCTGCGCTTTCGAGCTTGCTCAGCCTAGAGGTAGCTGCCCCGGCCGGACGCGCAATCTTCGTCCTCGACCTCCATCCCGCCGTCACCGCCTAATTGTGTGATCCTCCAAGTGGCCTACATCGACGACGCCATGGACCCTCCATCGAAGCGGAGGAGACTGGCTCCCAAGGTTTCCGATGCCCCAGCCCAATCCGCCGTCCCCTCGACGACTCCTCAGCCTCAGCCCCAGCCCCAAGCTCAGGCTCAGGCTCAGGCTCAGGCTCAGGGCCAGCCGCCAGCACAGTCTTTCCCTCAGGACCAGGTTAGTAGCCTTGTTATTCCATCTACCGTGCTTCTTCTAACCGTATTCCTCCTTCACAGCAGCACTTCCAGCCCGCCGCCGAACCACTCGTGTCGCCAGCACAGTCTGCCCAGTCCGCACCGCTTACCGAACGTGGAGAGTTCGAGGCCTATGCGAGACATCTCCAAGATGCTGCCATGTACATCAAGATGGTCAAGGAGCAGCTTGTTCCACACAGGAGCGTGTCCGTACTGATGCTGAGATGGGAGGAGGACCTCAGTGTTGAAGCAGACATGCTGCTCTTGGAGAAGGTGTTTCGGGACCGGTACAACTACAGCACCGAGAAATGGGTCATTCCTACCGTGCCCAACCCCAGCATCAAGCTAAGCTACCAGATGGCCTCGTTTCTTGAAAACGCTGGTCCTGATCACCTCTTGATCGTCTACTACGCCGGTCATGGTTTTGTTGGCCAAGACAATCACCTCTATTGGGCCTGGTAGGTTGACCCTCATGTTTACAGCATCGCCCCTGTTTCCAAGGCTGACATTACGGCTATAGTAACGCTCGCGACGATGCTGCAAAACTCAAGTGGGACGGAGTTAGATGCCTCTTCGAGGACGCCCAGCCAGAGATTCTGCTCCTGTTAGACACCTGTGCCATCAAGGATTCGCCTCCCGCTGGAAGTCACGGTACCAAACAGGCCATTGCCGCGTACACGCCGGAGCAGAGCTCAAGAGAGGCCGGTCCCCGCTCTTTTACAGCTACCTTGGCTGATGCTCTTACCAAGCTTGCCAGTGGGCGTCCCTTCAGCGTTCAGAAGCTACTCGATGAGCTAATAACACTGCGGCAACACGAGAGCGCCCAAGCCCTTGCCAAGATGGCCAACGGAACAGCCAAAATAGCTCCGTCTGAGAGAGTCCCGGTGACTTTCACCTTGACTCCTGCCAAGGGACGTGATATTGTTCTCGGACCCCTGAAGAAAGAAGTCGCACAGCTGCAGTCGCCTCCCCAATCTGCTGACGTGGATGGGGACGCCTGGAGGTCGACCCGGGATGACCAGCCGCTCAGCGCCACAGAAGTGGCTGACCTTACTTTCGAGGAGAGCAGTAGAGTGTTAGTGTGTACCACATTCGTGGGAGATGCGAGCGCAGATATGGGCTTCTTCCACCAATGGCTCCATAATCCTCCGTCCGTTGCCTCAAAAATTACGGTGGAGGGCATGTTCCTCGGGCCTCCTACTATGCTCTTGATCTCGATGCCGCTCTCAATATGGAACATCGTCCAGCACGACAAGGTCTGCTGCTTCTTGGGATACATCAGTTCACACAACATGATTCATCTCTACCAGCGACTCGTCAAGTCTGCCGCGAACGGCCAGCCAATGACCAAAGACTTCGAGGATGGCCGCATTCTGCTAGAGGCACGAGAGGCTGCTGCAGGTAGCCCGTCTCTGAATCGGCGAGACCACACAAACCATTACTCTTCCCTAACACAGGAGAACCAACCACGTCAGGAGCACCGGGTCCCGCTTCCCACGCCCAACGGGGCTGTTCCCGTCACTCCTGGCCCTCCAGGTCAGACCCCCGGTCCCAAGGCCAAGGACGACGCAGAAGATTCCGACGAGATGAAAGAAGCGGCAGAACAGTTGAAGATGCTGAGCGATCTCCACGCACAAAGCAACAGGGTGGGAGATAGTATTGCAGTCAGGCATCCTGAAGAGCCCGGTGCCTCCGATGTGAATGACACCGTTATGGATGAGATTCACTACGGCGGTGTCCCCTATGGCACCCCTCGTGCCAAGGTTGGAGTGGTCAACGGCAAGATCCCCGGTGAAAGCCCAAGGGTTGCAGCAGGGAGGAGGCCGCTTCAGAAACAAGTGTCGAAGCAAGAGACGCGGTGTAGCCACTGTAGCCATGCGCCATTCAAGGACTCGTCTTCGCTCCGCAAGCATATCGCAGCTGCTCACACGCGGCCGTTCCCGTGTGCTTTCTCCTTTGCCGGGTGTGCAAGCACGTTCGGGTCCAAGAATGAGTGGAAGCGTCACATAGCCTCTCAGCACCTGTGTCTGCAATATTATCGGTGCTCGGCATGTCCTCAAAGCAGCGCTGATGGCAAAGGGAATGAGTTCAACCGCAAAGATTTGTTCACGCAGCATCTGCGACGAATGCATGCGCCGCCGATTCTCAAGAAGCCCGGTGGCAAGCCTGAGGCTGGACTTCTCGCTGAGTGGGAGGCGCACGTAAAGGAGATGCAAGCGTCATGTCTGGTAACGCGCAGGCAACCTCCTCAGCGATCGTCTTGTCCCAAACCTGACTGTCAGAGCGTTTTTGAGGGCGCCGGATCATGGGATGAGTGGACAGAACATGTCGGTCGACATATGGAGAAGGGAGAGGCTGATCGTATGGGCGTGGATCGCCTGCTAGCACAATGGGCGCTTGATGAAGGGATCATTGAGTGCATCGAGGACGACAAGTATAGGCTCTGTCCGCAAAACGGATCAGCTATGCCCGCCGATAGGAACGCGAATCAAAACTCGGCTGCTGCCGAAAACACGAAGAAAGAGGATGAGGATCCATCAATCACCGTGGCGTTATCGGCGCCGGATTCGGACGGTATGGATGTGGACTGATCGTGGGAGGAACTTGACCAAAGTCGTTTCGTACTAAGGTGTTTTTTTTATCGTTATTTTCGGGATCATGGCATCTTTCAGGCCACGGAGAGAGAAGCATGGCGGCGCATATGGGTACTGTATAAGCATGATTAGAGAGTTGCTGGAGTTATCATTTTCTAGGCGGTGCTGGAGTCTTACAGCAAGCCCGGTATTTACATCAGACCATGTTATAGTCACTCTGCTGGAGCGGATTCTGACTTCCAGCACCAGGTAAACAGAAGTTGACTCGTATTGTTCTTCGCCCGCGGCTACATGGTTTGTGTATCCCTGCAAGGGTGATAAGCACAAGGGGGTACCATGGCCACTGTAAAAGCAGCATATAAAAGTTTTGAATTCTTCGCGCCAGGTATCGGTTGACTTTACATACTCCATACAAAGAGAATGAACTGACTGATCAGGTGCGGGTAGTTCAAAGGTGCCGCGAGCATGAGATTTACCACCTGCTGATTTGGGATTGTGCAGAAATGATGAAGCGAACTGGCAAAGCCGTCTACCGTCCGTTCGGCAACCTCGGATATCGTTCTCATGTTCTTCAACGGCCACGAGCTGGGTTCCAAAGAGGCTGGATAAGCTTAACCTTGGTTGCCGGATCAACTATGGGCTTGGTGTTGTTGATCTAAATCTCGGCCTCCGGACCTCAACCAGCTTTTTAGCAAACCGCGACCACGGTCGGAGTCTAGCCCGATCACATTCCAAGCTTACAGGTTCCAACTCCGACCGTTACGTAAATGTATTCAGCGCCTTGGATGGTGGTTCTGGTGTTGGCTTAGTGGGCTAGCCTCGCATCTTCGATCCCGACATTCGGGCCTTTCTTGAGGAACATGGGCCATCAGTCCCCCCCACCTGGGATGCTACCCCCGAACTGTCTTGATGGGGACTTGGGCCAATGGCTTTTCCCTTCCCCAGGAAAATCTATGCGGAGAAGAGCAAGGGGTGATAGCGGGGGATGGGGAAGGCAAGACTGGGGGAGCGTTGGTGAATTGGAGAAAGCAGGCTCACCGGCCAGCCGGAGAGCAACACGCACGTAGAAAAAGGCAAGTGGGCAGAGTTTACCAAGACTTCATTATTCACATGTTGACCGCCTGTGCTCCGCCTAACTGATGATTTTCTTTACCACCTCCCAACTAGTCGTGCTTGGTCGTAGCAATAGGCCCGCTCAGAGCCTTGTCAAGGCCGACATGAGGCCGGCACAAGGTCGACTCAGATTCTATCGTGGGGTTCGGGACGCCACAAACCTTTGCGGTCATGAGAGTTGGTGCGTTCTTGTTAGTAAAAGCCCTATGATAAAGTATGATTGAGTGCGGAGAGATGGTACGGATTGGGAACCTTCAGCATGGCAGTCCCAAGGTTCTATAGGTCCACAGTGGCTCCCAGGGCGGCGTTCGCAATAGTTCCTTGCGTTGTTCCCGGATTCCCCAGGTTCCCCAACTTGCAGCTTTCAATAGTCTCCAGAATATCGTTACTAGCCGATCCTTTCCTGATTTGCCGGGGCAGGAAGCGCTGGTGTTACTTCCTCAAAATCCCCTTGCTCGGTGACGATGCGCTTGGTCCAGATGGGAATGTGTATAAGTAAGAACATGCTGCCTCCCGTAGTTCTGGTGTGAGGGAGATTTAGAGTGGCATCTCTCCGGAGCGCAGTCTATTTCTCTTGTGTGTGTGTGTCACCAAGCACCAACCAGCCGGACAGACTACAAGATGCTTGTGGGATCTCGTCTCGCGGCCCTCGGGCTGCTGGCTTCGTTCTGCTCTGCCGCCCTTCCACCGGCCATCCGCGCCATCAACAACGATCCGTTGGCCAATTGTCCCGGCTACAAGGCTACGAACGTCAAGACAAGTGTCAATGGCTTGACGGCGGAGCTCAAGCTTGCCGGAAAGGCATGCAATGCCTACGGCACTGATCTGGATAACCTCGTCCTTGAGGTGACGTACGAGACGGGTGAGTTAGCTGATATATCAATTAAAGAATTAGAGTGGTGAGAGACGCTGACATGAAGAACTCGCGTGTCAGACAACCGCCTCCACGTCAAGATCCAAGATGCCGCGAACGATGTATATCAGATCCCTGAGTCTGTTTTCCCTCGCCCGCAGGCAGCCCAGGGCGCAAACTCCAAGAAGTCTGCCCTAAAGTTCAACTACAAGGCCAATCCTTTCTCCTTCTCCGTCACTCGCACCAAGACCGGTGAGGTTCTCTTCGACACTTCGGCCGCTTCCCTGATCTTCGAGTCCCAGTACCTGCGCCTTCGTACCAAGCTGCCCAGCAACCCGAACCTCTACGGCCTCGGTGAGCACTCGGACTCTTTCCGCCTCAACACCACCAACTACATCAGGACTTTCTGGTCTCAGGATGCCTACTCCACTCCCAATGGAGCGAACCTTTACGGCAACCACCCGGTCTACTACGAGCACCGCAAGAGTGGCAGCCACGGTGTCTTGTTCCTCAACTCCAACGGTATGGACATCGTCATTGACAAGGACAGCCGGTCCGGTCAATACCTCGAGTACAACTCTCTCGGAGGTGTCGTTGACTTCTACTTCGTTGCTGGCCCCAGCCCGATCGAGGTTGCTAAGCAATATGCTGAGATCACCAAGCCCCCTGCCATGATGCCCTACTGGGGTTTTGGCTTACACCAGTGCCGCTACGGCTACCAGGATGCCTTCGAGGTTGCTGAGGTTGTCTACAACTACAGCAAGGCCAGCATCCCGCTTGAGACCATGTGGACCGATATTGACTACATGGACCGCAGAAGGGTCTTTACTCTGGATCCTCAGCGTTTCCCCCTCTCGACCATGAGGCAGTTGATCGGCCATCTTCACGAGAACAACCAGAAGTATATTGTTATGGTCGACCCTGCCGTGTCGGCGGCGGAGGGGCCTGAAAACCCCGCTTTGACGAGAGGCATTGAAGAGAACGTCTTCCTCAAGCGTGATGATGGCTCCATCTACAAGGGTGTCGTGTGGCCTGGTGTCTCGGTCTTCCCCGACTGGTTCTCGGCCAACATCTCCAGGTACTGGGATAACCAGCTCACTGAGTTCTTCTCCGCGAGCTCTGGCGTTGATATTGACGGTCTCTGGATTGACATGAACGAGCCCTCCAACTTCCCTTGCTTCTTCCCTTGCAATGACCCCGAGAAATCCGCCATTGGCTACCCGCCTGAGCCTCCTGCCGTGAGGACACCTCCCCGGGAGCTCCCTGGCTGGCCTTGCGTCTTCCAGCCTGAGGGAACTGAATGCAAGGAGAAAAAGGCCTTGACCATTGAGGCCCCTACCAAGCGCGACGTTCTTGTTGCTGAGCGCGAGGAGACTGTCGAGGCTACCATTGCTGCCGGCAAGCAGCTTGGTCTCCCAGGCCGTGACCTTCTCTTCCCCAAGTACTCGATCCACAACAAGGCTGCTTACTTGGACTCCTGGAACGCCGACAAGGGTGGTCTCTCTAACAAGACTGTGAATACCGATACGATCCACCAGAATGGCCTGGCCGAGTATGATGTCCACAACCTTTACGGCACCATGATGTCGATCCAGTCCCGCGGGGCCATGCTTGCCCGCCGCCCTGGCCTCCGCCCCTTCATCATCACCCGTTCCACCTTTGCTGGCGCCGGCCACTCGGTTGGCAAGTGGCTTGGTGACAACATTGCTGACTGGCAACACTACCGTGAGAGCATCTACGGAATGATGGCGTTTGCTTCCATCTACCAAATCCCCATGGCGGGCGCTGATGTCTGTGGCTTCGGCGGAAACACGACCGAGTCGCTCTGCGCTCGCTGGGCCATGCTGGGTGCCTTCTCCCCTTTCTACCGCAACCATAACGAGTTGGGCGCCATCGGCCAGGAGTTCTATCGCTGGGAGAGCGTGGCTGAGGCTGCCCGCAAGGCCATCGATATCCGCTACCGCCTGCTCGATTACATCTACACTGCCCAGTACAAGCAGTCCATCGATGGTACCCCCATGATCAACCCTGTTTTCTATCTCTACCCCAATGATGCCAACACCTTTGGCCTCCAGCACCAGTACTTCTACGGTCCCGGCCTCCTTGTCGCCCCAGTCACTGAGGAGAACTCGACCAGCGTTGATGTCTACCTTCCCAATGACATCTTCTACGACTGGTACACCCTTAAAGTCGTTTACGGCGAGGGCAAGACCGTCACTGCCAAGGATCAGAGCTTGACTGATATCCCGCTCTATCTCCGTGGTGGCGTCATCATTCCTCTTAGGGCCAAGTCTGCCTTGACCACTGCCGAGCTTCGCAAGCAGAACTTTGAGCTCATCATCGCGGTCGGCAAGGACCTCACTGCCGAGGGTGAGCTTTACCTTGATGATGGAGTCAGCTTGGAGCAGCAGGGTGTGACGAACATCAAGTTCAAGTATGCCTTGGGTGTTCTGACTGTCAAGGGTGACTTTGGATTCAAGACCGATCTGAAGATTACCAAGATCACCGTCGTCAGCGCCTTGAGGAAGAAGAGCGTGGATGTCAACATCCCGTTGACCCAAGCCTTCACGGCTGTGCTCTAGTGGGCGGCGGTATGATGAGAGTGTGTTGTAACTAACGGGCCGATGATTATGATTGATGAGAGGAGTTTCTTGCTACGATGTGGTGGGATATACCCTTGTAATAGCATGAACAAATAAGAAACCACGATGTCCATGTTCCCACTTCCTGCTATCAGACCACCTGAGTGGATACTGGACAAGTTCGTGAACTCGCAGAATAACCACATGAGAACGAGGTTTATCCGTTATCTCTAGTGTTATGCAGGGCCTTGCAAAACCACCGAGTCAATGGTGCATGTGACGGTCGTGCCGCTCACTGATGCCCTCGCTCCGGAAATGGTGTACTTTGTGGCCGAGTTATAGTTTTCTGGCTTTCCTGTGCACCACGCCGTGTTCGTGCTTCCAGTCGCAACCTGTCGGGTAAGTTAGCACTTGAAAGCCCTTTATGTTGAGAGTGAAAGTTCGATGGTTCCGCCGCCCAAAATGGTACTCACAATTTTGACGTCCTTGAATGTCAAGGGCCCGAAGTTCCACGGCACATCGTAACTATTATACAGATCAGTATCGACATCACGGCTGTAGTTCGGTTTACGAGAAAAAATATACTCGAGACTCACAGTTCAATGGCAAAAATAGCTTGGTTGAAAGATTTGCCCGCTGTGGTATAAGCCCAGAGAATCAGCTCCCACAGCTTTTATCCATCATTCTGCCTTTGGCTCGGAATAGGCTTTCCCCTCTAGACTCACCAAGAGGAAACGTATTGGTCACGGGCGAGCCGTTGGTACCCCTTGTCGCCGTCGTAGTCCATCCGCTCCCATCACTGTTCAACACGTTCGAGAAGCTGTTCGTCTCTCCCGCATAAGTGTTGAACCCGCCTCCCCACGGCAATGAAGGGTTTGAACAGCACCATCCAGATCCAAACCACCAAGTGCCGCTTCGCCCGTCAAGCACATTCTGATAAACTCCGCTGTTGTCGGTCGGTTGGAGGCCTGGCCAAAGGTAGTATACTGCTGCTTTGGGTAGAGTTGGGACGACCATTTGTCCACTGAAGGTAGTGAACTTGGCTCCCGAGGGGGTGTTGTAGCGTAGGAAATACCATGTTGCGGCGGCAGCCTGAGTGGCAAACAGAAAAACAGGCACAAAGATTACGGATAGAAGCTGCATCTTTGCTTGACAACTCGAGACCTGAAAGTTACAGGATCGGATAAGGCTCGAGAGAAATGGAGGTTGTGGTAAGGTTGACCGTCATGTTGCCCATCAAGCGAGGGATAACTTTGCTATTATATGTTTTCTGGTTGATTATCACTGAGAGTTTCAGGGCCTGGAAATCTGGATCCCTGCTGGTGGAATGATGTTTGGTTCATGGGCAACAATTACCCAAAGTGGTGCGGCATTAAATACCCGGCGTTGCAATTGAAACCTCGAAGCCCTGAAAAGGGAAGCAAGAGCATAACAACACTCTGAGGACATCGCAGTCACATGCAACGCACCCCACAGCTCCGTGGTGTTTTTTAATTTGCATGAACACAATAATTGGTAGGTAGGCTTGTGGTGTTGAGCTGGTACGCATTAGTAGATCCGTTGTCCAATTGTCGCACCCATCCATTCCCTGACAAACAAAAAAAAGAACTATACCCACGTGTGGTTGAATGAGAATCTGCCTGCATGATCGTCTTGCAAAGAGCAGGCACTGGTTGATGGCGCTGAAAGCATTGAATGTTGGAATCATAAAAGTGAGGAGGAAATTGGCTGTGGAAACAAAGCAAATCAGGGGCATATTCTGACATGACCTTGAGCTGCTCCTGAACTCACTCCTCGGCCTTCACCCATCCTTCTTCAATGTTCTGCTTCCTGCTCCTTTGACTCCATTCAGGCGGCACATCAATACCTTCTTCTTCCTCCTTCTCGCCCTCCTCCTTGGTCTTATGCACTGCTGTTGGCCTGTGCTCGGCCGGTGAGTAGATGGTATATAGAATCAAGGGCGTCGGTCCCTGGTTCAGGAACTGATGCTTTGTCCCTGCTGGTACAATTACCATATCGCCTGCCTTGATCTTCTGTTCCTTGCCCCCAACCTGGGCGAGGCCGACGCCCGAGGTAAAGGTAAGGGCCTGGTCCCTGGTATGAATCTGAGCCATGACTTAGCACTCCTGGCCGGTCTAGGTGGTAATAGCATTAGACAGGATGTGAGATACTTACCTCCTCCCCGATATCTCCACCCACGGGGATAGTCATCAGTACGAGCTGGGAGTAGAGCCCGGTCCACAAAACACGACGGAATTCGCCCGACTCAGAGGGCAAAGCTGTCGTCATGTCGGGGAAATATTGCATTTCATGCTTGGGAGGATCGCTATTGGGGGTCCGAAATGGAGCCATTGTGCGTTGGAGCGGCTTTTCGTGGTGAAATTGACAATGATTCAGTCGTCTTGTCTTCCGAAGGTCTAGTAAACGATGTGTATAGGAAGCGCCCAGTACGAGGCCCTGTTGACTTCTACCTGAGCAGACGTAGCGATGAGCGACACGGGAGAGCATTGGATACTGGAAGAAGTCCCAAAGGAAATGGGTACTCAAGTAGGAAACTGGAAAAGGACGAGATGCAGGACGTCTGCAGACACTTGGGGAGTTTTGTAGTGTATAAATCATAACGTCATCATCATGACCCGGATGCCGCATGGACTACCCCAGCCCATGTAGGAATGGATCGACACAGGGACATTGACAACATGAGTTGTTACTCGGGGAGTTAGGGAAGAACCTGGAACCTCAAGACCCTGAAAAAAACGACAAGGTACAACCCCTGGAGTCAACATTAACAGCAGCGCATTGTCTCACGACTATTTCGAGTTCTAGATTCGCGACCTCCATCATACAGTAGTCGGCTTAATAGACAAATCCAAGCCACAAGTTATACCCACGGCCAGCAGTCATCAATTGTCTTGCACGCTCAGCCTTCAATGTCAAACTCCTCATAGTACCGATAGAGGCCACTGCTATACTTCTGCCGACGAGGACCCTCCAGATATTCCTTGATCTTGGGTCTTTGCCTGACAGCATCGTACAGCTCAAACAGCTTCGAGTGTTTACCCTCCTTGTCCAACTTCGCCATGGCCTTGGGGAACATGAACTTGAGGCCATCCAGACACTGTCTCATGTCAGCCCTAATACGAAGAGCAATTGGTGCTAAGCAAGGCGCGGAACATACCTGGAAGAGGACCAAATCCGCATATGACAGCTTGCCTGCGTAGAGGTAAGGGCCCTCACCGCTGGCCTTGGAGTTCAGGACCCTTTCGAAGTAACCGAGAAACTTGGGTAACCGCGTCTTGACGTAATGCTCGGCCTTCCGTTTGGCCTCTTCCTGTTGGTCCTCGTAATACAGCTCAGACGCAATAGGGTGATGGCAGTCGTGCGGCTCGTTGCTCAATCCATCCAGCGCCGTAAGTGCCAGCTCGTTAACCTTGTACAGAGCATCCGGATCGTCCGCGGCACTGGGTACGAGACCCAATCGCGGGCCTAGATACAGCAGAATATTGGGCGTCTGGCTGATGACAAGGTCACCGTGCTTGAGAATGGGCGGCGCAAAGATGGGAGGGTTGGTATTGTCGTCGGGTTTCTCGCCCTTTATATGAGCCATGACCTCGTCGATGCCTCCCTCGACCTTGGCCGTGTCGACGTACTCAGCACCGGCCTCCTCGAGGGCAAGCCGGATGAACTCACCGCGGCCGGGGATGTCTGGCCAGTAGATGAGGTTGTAGGGCACATCCTTGTTGGACCTCTGTCGCTTTGCTGCTGCACCTTCGGACGACATCTTGAACCTTTCAGCTGCGGTTGACAGGGCAGTAGCAATCGTAGTAGTGGTAAACGAAACACGCTGCGAAGAGGGGGATGGCAGTGGAAGTGAAGCTAATGATAATGGAAGCAGAAAAGCAACAGGTGTAACAGCTCTCAGCCGCGCCAGTTGTTTGCAATGCCCCACGAATAGGAGGACCATTCGGGTAAATAAATCACTGACGTAAATACCAAGACCGAGAAACTGCTTTCGGTCAGAGGCAGGTACTGACAACACAGAAACCCGACATGGGGTAAACTTGCATTTCCCCGCACTCGTTCGGTAGTTAGAGTGTCAGCCATGCCGTACGTACCTAACCAGCAAGGTACTTACGCCCCCGTCAACATAAATAGAAGGAATCGATCATTAACAGAAGGGTATACTATCGGAAAAATAGGTATGCGTTTCGTTTATAAGTCATAACGTCCAAGCAAGCTAATAACATCAACGGAAAGGCCATGTCCGCCTTTCGGATTCCATGACCGGGAGAGGTGGCCTCGACATACCTGCCACCTCTAAAGTAGATCTTGCTAGATCAACGAGGCAGGTACCACAGCAGGTCTCGCACGAAATGCACACGACTAAAGCACACGACTCAAGTGTGTGCATTGGACCTTGCATACAGCCATGACCAGACGCAACTGACAGCTCGTTCGAGGAAAGATGCGGAGGGGTGCCGTAAACATCTTCACCTTAGCCAACCACTCTCTGGATCTGCTCACGGCACTCGGCAGGATCCTCAAACACATGCCACACCTCTCTGCAAGTATCGCAAGGTTAGATCCAATACTCAAAAGGGGACCTCAGCCGTAGGAGTCGCACATACCTTGGGACACCCTTAAACGCTTCCTCGAACCGCTTGGGAGCATTCTTCGTTTCCGTACCGATGGCCGCAATATCGGTAACTTTCCGGATGATAATCAGTTTGATCCACTCTGGATGCTTCCTATACATCTCGCCTGCAGAACATGAGTCCATGTGTCAGCCAGTGAGTTTTCTGGTACAGCTCACTTCTTTTGTTTTCGAATCCAAGGTATCATCAACTCACCATATGCTTCGGGGTCGCTTTGCGTTGAATCGCCTACACAGATCATTTTCTTCTTTGGCAGCCACTCGTACAGCTTCTTCATGCGATCGACCTTGTACTTTTGGGTTCCAAGCGTGAGATTGGAGAGCAACCCTGGAATGGTCATCCAACTGGCATCTCGCAAGATCAACTGGCCCCGGGGGTAGTAACGGTGAGTGAAATCCCGGAGGAAAGGGTAGAGGTTGTATGGTGATGCCGACAGGTAGAACCACGGTGCAGACGGCGTCACTATGTCCTTAATTTGCCAGTATAGCTCTGGCATGCCTGCAATTGGTGTCGGCTCTGCCTACACAAAGGGGGACATGCCGTCAATATCTGAGCTTCATCAAAGGGCTAGACGGTTGCGATGGAACGCAGAGAGCGCTAAACTTACCACAAATGTGGACCGTAGGATTCCCACAGGATCGCTCGTTTGCGTGATCTTGATAGTGTCATCGACATCTGTTTTGGAGGGTCGGGTGTTAGAAGCAAACGCTGGGCGTTTTGTGCGGGGGGAAAGGACTGTCTCTCATTTGAGTGACGGCTCGAAGACCACAGGCGTACCAGAAATAACGGCCCAACCCTCAGGCTCTGTATAGAAAGTATTCATTTCCAACAATCCTCCTGCGCCAGATGGGACTTCGGCCACTGACTTTACCACAGTTCCGGCAGCTAAGTCGGGGAGCTTCTTTAGCTCACTGCTGATTCCGTTCCTGCCTCCAGGGCCCAGCCGCAACTCGGTAGACTCGCCAAACTTGATATCGACCCGTCTCCCAGGCAAAACCTCCATGAGGAAAGGAGTAATGCGCTGCTCAATCGTCTTCTCCTGCTTGTCGCCCTTGGAGAGACCCACTTTTTCGGCGATGTCGCCTACAGCCTCAACAAACTTGGTTGATACGCGCGCGTCGAAAACAGCCGTCACAAACTCTGCCTGCCATGTACCATTTGGGCCGCGAAAGGCAACATTATCGAAGAGCCAGACCGCGTCGTTCTTCGACACGCCAATCGGTATGGGATTCAGCCGGCCAAGATATGAGAGCAGATGGGTAACCTTGAACTTTTGGACAAGGCCTCGGGCTTTCATCATGTTGGCGAGGGACGTCTCGGTAGGCTCGAAGCCTCGATCGCACCAAGTTTGGTGCTCGAGCATGCTCGACTCAGAGCGGCGGTATGTGGACGGAAGCGACATGGTGAATAGCGGCTGCTGAGGTTCACTGTCGGAAGGTAGGTGGTTGAGGCCTTGGCGGGAGGAGTTTGATCAAGCGCATGAAAAGCAAACACGGTCACCAGGAACAGGCTGGAGACCAGAACATGGCCATGATGAAGGCCTTATGAACTCGCTGCTGAATCGACTAAGGCCCAGATCGGCTGCCTGCCATTCAGGCTCCTGCAGAGGGTTTTGTTGGCTTTCTGGTCGCCAAGATCGATATTTTGAACAGACTAGACCAGATTTAGCAGTGATTTCGCGCTGTCTACTATTCTAACTAGTTTGTGCGTGAACTAGGGTGCCAAAAACCGTACTACACTAATACAGGCCATATTACCTTCCTAACTGGGGATAGTTATACCCACTTTCATAATATTGAAGGTATTTTAACCTTCTTTGCAGTCCAGAATATTGCCAGACGAACAAATGCCTCCAGACCACCTTCGTAGAGGATTGTAGAATGTTTATCGACTATAGAGGGTGTAAAATCGTCGAAATTTAGTTGAGTTAGCGTATACGGGGTCGAGGATAAAATTCTACTCTACTAATTCTATTGTCTTAGGATATAATATATATAACGATTACTTATTGTATTTACTATATAAATTAGTTCTTTGTAAAATCGATATAGATTTAAGGATTACTAACCGTATTATTTTCGTCTTTATAGCCGCTAATGCTATATATGTACTATTCGGGAGGGGAAAAATTAGAGACTGTAAAATACCTACCACTATCTGCCTAAGTAGTCTAGAGTATGCTAGCGAGCTAATAAATTCGATATATTATAGATTTAAGACCTAATTTAAAGATTTTTTTTGTATAGATCGATATACTTTCGATACCTTAGTAAAATAGCTTTAAATTTATACCGGTATAGAATTAATTAAATACTAGACTATACGGTAAAAGGGTATAGTAATACTATACGTTTTAGCTTACGCTAAGGCTTAGTGTAATATAGTATATAAATTCCAAATTAGTTAGAGTATTGTTAGTGCTATTGTTAACGATCTACTCCCTAGATTGGTTACCCTTTATAAAGTATTTATAAAGCTACTAAACGACGATTATTTCGACCCTAATATTAAATTAGACCCTACCTTTAACGTTTTTAATAGTTATATTAGTATTATCGATAGGACTTACGTAGCCGTATAAATATTATTGCGGTAGTAGTAATAATACTATAATCGAAAGGGTAGTATTATATAGAATATATTCGCCGCCGTCAAGTTCGATTATACTTTTACGTATATATTAACCGGCGCGGAGGGGTCTTTGAACGATATTTTACTATATATGTATATATTTAGGAAATCCTTTCGTGTGTTAGAGGTACGATATTACGTAATAGATACGGGGTTTAGGACGCGGACCGGTATTGTAATTCCTTTTTTAAATATTACATATTATTTTTAAGATTAGAAGTATATAGAGAGACTTTTAAAGATAGTGAAAAAGTTATATAATTTACGTCACTCTTATATTCGTATTACCGTAGAGTAAATTTTTAATTTTATAAAGAGAAGGTAGAAAATTGTAAGGGTCGCACCTATTGAGTAGAGTATTAAGAAGTAAATCTAAATTGTCTACGCGGTAATTAGGCTATATAATTTTATTATTGCGTATTCGAGAAAGGAATCGAGGGTATTTATATAAGCGGAGGAGAGGATAATGAAAATGGCGCGCCGGCGAGCGAAATAGTCAATAAAGGGCGTTTATTTTAATATTATCTGTTATAACGCGGCGTAGTTGATGAATAAATAATGGCGAGAGTTTTATAGAAGGTAGAGAGGAGGGGAAGCGAGAGGAGGGGAGGCGAAATAGGATTTTAGTATGTAAAATCGAATTATTTGAGTAAAGTTATATAAGATCGAATTATTTGACTAGAGTTATGTAAAATTGAGTAATCTGAGTAAATCGAGTAATGTGTAAAATCGAATTATTGTATTTATTCGTATAATTTTTAATAAAATTTCTAAATTTCTAATTTATAACCCCTTTTTCTAAATCCCTTATTTCTATCTATTTATATACGTAGTCTTTATACCCTTGCTCAACTTTATCTATATTAATACAATTAGCGGATTATTTATAAAATAATCGATATATATTATTGGTTCTATTTCTATTATTTTGCTAGCGAAGTGCGCTTGTAAGTTATTAATTGCGATACCGATATTAGTAGCGCTAGGAAGTTTAGGGGCTTATAGAGTAGCCGCCGCCTTCTTTATCGAGCTACTAAGCGCGGCTATATTTGAAGGCTTCTTCCTCCCCCCTCCTCTAGTATTTATATTTACGAAGGTAACGGTTTAGAAAGTGGGAATTTTATTTGGGTTAATAACGAAATAGTATTTCTATACCGCTATTATATTAATTGCTTGATTGCTAACGGTCTAGTTTATTACTTTTGCCGCTGCGATTTATTTTGTGGTTATAGATGGCTCGGATTTGTTGCCGCTTTCTTCCTCCTTCTCCTCCTCCTCGTTAAATTCTCCCTACTATCGTTTTACTCTTCCTCTTTATCGTTATTGCCGGCTTTCTATTCCGCTTCTTCCCCTATTTCGATGTTATTAAGTAAGTTATTGTCTACGTTTACTTCGAAATTTTAATTAATTTTGGCTCTAGACCCGCTATTGTATTACATTTCGTTCGGTTTTATAATATTAAAACCGGTACCCTTCAATTTAAAAAAGGTTTAACTATATACTTCGATATCTTTAAGCGGTTGCCGACGTACCTAGTCAACGCTATACGATTTGGTACTATAGTATTTGACGAAGCTCTCCTAATATTCGTTTAAAATAAGAGGTAGCCTAATATTATAGTTTATCCTAATATTAGAATATTTAGTAAAGAGGGTTTGCTATACTATATACCGCCGCTGTTCGCTATTATATTTATTATTAATACGAATTAAATCCTAACAATACCCCGGCTACGTCTTTTAATATATAGATATAAGGTATTCTTATACTTTAGTATAATCCTTATTAAATTAGTTTCTATATTAACCCTTCCTAATATAGAATTAAACCTATTCTATAAAAGTAGCAGTTATTTAGAGGGTAAACCTTATAATTTTTATATTATTAAATACGGGTCCCGCCTTCTTCTTTACCAGTATTCTAGGTTTCTTGGGAACTTTCTTATTCGTTGGCTTAGTTGTAGCTTTGCGTTTCCCCTTAATTACTATAGGCTAGGAAGGTTGGGTTAATAGAGGAGTATTTTTATAGTAATAATTTGGCCGGCGGGAGGATTGGGAGCCGGTTCTTAAATTGGCTAGGCTATTGGCTAAGTTAGTATAATAATTAGGGAAGGGAAAGGAGGTAGTAAATTATTATTATGGCTAGTAGGTACTAGGTTGTTAAAAATATTTTAGATAGGTTGTAATAATAGGTCGTTATCTGTTAAATTAAGGGTTAGGGGTAAGGTATAAATTTAAGATAAATTAATACCCTCAATAATATTAAGAGGCTCTATAAGGTCTTAGGAGTCTATTATAATAATCTCTAGTCGTTTAGTTGATTATTGGTATTGTTTATTTCTAATACAATATTACGAGTTACGATAAGTAATAAGGTTAACTCCTCTTTTTAAAAGCAGTGTAGATTCTTAGGTATTTATAGGTATGAACTATACTGAAGACGGTTAATAACGATAAATACGGTTAATTAAGTACTAATGCGGGTACTCTAATACGGCTCTAGTACGGTTATTACCCTAAAATTAGTATAATTGCTAGCTTATTAGGCGGTAATGTACTGAAATCTCTGTTAAATTCTGTGCAGGAGCCTGAATGGCAGGTAGCCGATCTGGGCCTAATCAAGGATTCTATGACTGCACCATGATGGAAGATCACCATTCGAGACAGCTAGGGCTGCTAGTGGCATCCTAGTGGCCCCCCACATGAGTCGCTTGCCTAGTGCTTGGCCAGAACGCCGGGATACGTTGACACGGTCGGGAGGGCCTCCCCTCGTGATGCCGGCACGTCGAAACCTGGAACTACAACCTCCAGGAACCAAGCTAGGCCGCAGCAACAGGGGCGCCCGTGTGTGATGCCCCTGTGCAGTATCCTAGATCGCCACAGGTTAAAGTACCTTACCCTACCGCCGTCACCCTCTCTTCGGAGGCAGCATTGACGGCATACGAACAAGGGCTCTTCAGGCGCTCATCACCACTTTCCATGCAGGGGCGTACGCAACCTTTGGGTTTCCAGCTTGCTTCAGGTTCGTTTTGTGCCCAGTTGTCGAAGGTTAACAAGTGGTTGGTAACCATTTGGATTGACAAATGAGGGAAAGAGACTTGAGAATTACGTATTGCTGGCTGATAAGCGCTCTAACTGGTTGTCGACAAATATCAGCCCCGAACAGTTGCGCTCAGCAGAGCGTTTCAGCTACCATACATACCACACAAAACTTTGGGATATAAACCCGGTCTTGTGATTTATCTCTTTCTCTGGAGCCTCCCTCCCCGGACTCTTTTTTCAGACGTTCCTTTCGGTTTGTGGCTCTTATAACACTGTTGATAAGATGATGTCATTTTCCAGCCCTCAAGCGAATCAGGAGCGCACCGTACACGTGCCGTACCTGAAACGAGCCGCACATCAGGTGCCACGGAGTAGGCACGAGTATCGAAGCAGAAGACACAAACAAGGCCACACCCAAGGAGAGGTGACTAGCGCAGGATGTAGGCTGATATGAAGGAGACGCGCCCGGACTTGGAATAACGGAACGGTCCGCCTGAACATCGAGATCCTCACCAGCCCCGGCCGGCCTCCGATGAACCCCGAAGTGCAGAACCCAAAAAGTGCTGCTTGAAACTTCCGATATCCACTGCGCAGCGGCATTGCGTGCGCCAAAAAAAAAGTCAAAGATGACCCCAACCCGATTTGAACGGATAACCTTTCGATCTGGAGTCGAACGCGCTACCGTTGCGCCATGAGGCCGCTGTTATGATTTGTTTCGAGACTAGGTTTC